TAAAACAATAAGACTTCCGTCCTATAAGCCTCACATCCTTTATCCTGAAGACCCTGGAGAGGCTGGTGGATAGACACATCAAGGCCGGGCCCTTGGCTGACAGACCCCTCTCCCCCTGTCAATATGCATACAGAGAGGGAAGATCAACAGATACCGCCTTACATCACCTGGTGGGACTGATTGAGGGACAACTGGCGGTCAAGGGTTTTGCCATAGGCGCCTTTCTGGATATTGAGGGGGCTTTTGCAGCACTTCGAATCCGGCTATAAAAAAAAGCCATGGAAGAACGACAGGTGTCCAAGACTATCATTGCTTGGACACAAAACATGCTGAAAAGCAGAAGACTGTCGGCAGGACATGGGAGGGTATGTGTGGAGGGACGTCCGACTAGGGGCTGTCCGCAGGGGGGAGTTCTCTCGCCCCTGCTATGGAACCTGGTTGTAGATGGACTTCTAAATCAACTAAGTGAGGCCGGCTTCCACGTCATCGGTTTCGCCGATGATGTGGCAGTTGTTGTGAAAGGCGGATTTCTGAGGGTGCTAAGGGACCTGATGGCAACAGCCTTCAATATCATTGAGGACTGGTGCAGGGTAACTGGCCTATCGGTAAATCCAGCCAAAACAACAATCCTGGTTTTCACCAGAAATTATAAACTGGAAAAGATCCAACCTCTGAAGCTAAATGGCTCGGAGATTAACTACACCAGCAGAGTGAAATATCTGGGTGTCCTCCTGGATAATAAACTCAGCTGGAAAGAACATATCTGTACTCAGAGAAATAAAGTGTTTGCCTCTATGTGGGCATGCAGGAGAGCTGTGGGCAGGACATGGGGACTCAATCCTAAAATGATGCTCTGGCTCTACCAAATAGTTCTACTTCCGAGACTGTTATACGCTGCGGTCGTTTGGTGGCCGAGGGTGAGTAAGACGGAAACAAGGAACCTGTTGAAAAGCCTACAGGGAACCTTCCTGAGGGCTGCAACAGGAGCCATGAAATCGACACCTACTGAGGCGCTAGAAATAGCACTCAGTATCCCACCCCTCGACCTTAGGGTTGTGAGTTGTGCTACCACAACTGCATATAGACTAAGGTGCCAACTAGAATGGAAGATGACGGGCCAAGGCCATACAAGGCTTAGCCTAATCAATGATCGACCCTTCATAGGTAAGACGGATAGGATTCCTAGGAAGTATCAGATCAGGAAAACTTTCAGAACGAGTATACCACCCAGACAGGAGTGGCTAGACTCGAAACGTAAACCAGGACCAAGAGAGGACTACTGGTTTACGGACGGCTCTGGCTTCAATGAAAGTTTTGGGGCAGGCATCTACCGTCTGAAAGATGGCTTCGGAGAGAGTTTTCCGCTGGGCCATCATTCAACCGTCTTTCAAGCAGAGATGCTGGGCATACTTAAGTGTGCAGAGTATCTGAACGCGAGAGACACAAAAAAGATGAAAATATTCATCTGCAGTGACAGCCAGGCGGCGATACACGCCCTGGAAAAACCCACTACAGAGTCACAGGTGGTGTGGGAATGCATGCAGGCATTGGACACACTGGGTAAAAACAACCGGGTCACCGTAACCTGGGTGCCAGGTCACCATGGGATTCTGGGTAATGAAGAGGCAGATAAGCTGGCCAAGGAGGGTACAGAAAGTGTGCCCTCACACGGCCTGCTTGGCATGCCCTTCGCAGTGGGAAAAACTCTTATTAAAGATCATTTCCAGCGGGATCATGTCAGGCGTTGGGAGAAAGTTGCGACCTGCAGACAAGCGAAACTGCTTATGAGAGGGCAACTAAGAGTTAGGACCAGAAAGCTTCTGGAGTTGCACAGAGGGGATCTGAGGGTAGCAGTAGGGCTCCTTACGGGTCATACAGCTCTCAGAGCTCATCTGTTCAAGATGAAACTTGCAGAACAAGAAGACTGCAGACTGTGCGGAGGCGATAAGGAGGGCGTCATCCACATTTTATGTGAATGCCCCCTATTAGCACTCCGTCGCTATAAAATCTGGGGCCAGGCTTTCCTGAAACCAGAGGACTTACAACAAGCGGCTGTCACCAGCCTTATTAGCCTAGTGAGAAACACAGGGCTGGGGCTGTGTGACTGACCGAAACTAAGGCGGAAGTTACAAAAGGTCGTATGATTTAGGTGACTCTGGGCGCTTTAAGTGACCAGCCGCACTTCTTCTATTCTATTCTATTCTATAATTATCCCCTTGAATAACCCACCAAAAATCCCGAAAACCACCCAATCATGAGTGGAACAAAGGGGGGGTCGGCACCTCATAATTTGGATTAAGCGTCACAATCACCGTTTTATCGGAATAAAATGCGACGTACGGGGCTGAAGACCCCGTGGTCGAATAACGAAAAGCCGAAATGAATTCGGAAAAATACATAAATGAATAAACCGTACTAAAAACTCACTTTGGGTTTCTTACCCCTCTTTGGGGTGTTCTTCGCCATCGTGTAGATACACTTATCCAAATATATGCACACTAATTCCTAAGATAGGCACTGTACTGGCACTAGTTCTGGTGGGGTCAAGGGCCAACGCCGAACTGCCGAACTCACGAGCGTCTCGAAACACCTCAGAGCACGGAATTCACCGCTCAATCACCCGAGTTTTGATTGGTGCGGACACGCCCCTCGAAGGTGCGAATCTAACGACACTTAATCGCGACTCTCATGACCTGGCGCGATTATTCAAATCTCACTTAACTCTTCTCTAATCCTCTAACACAAAACTAGTTCCTTTTTATTAATTATTACGCGAGACTAGGCCGAACTGATTGTCGTTCGGATAATTACGAAGGGTCTTTGGCGCTTCCCACGGATCGGATCTCCGGGATTTTCGGGGTTAAAAGACAAGTTACCAGCACTTGTTACAACTTCACTACTAATTCCTGCTCAACTCGTTTCTCTCATCAAAAACTCAAAGGCCACCTGGCAATTCGTTGGAGACGATGGTTGCACTCGCTCCGAACGACCTTCCACCCAAAACAAAAACGTAACCAATTAACCCCTGAAAATCCAACGAAATTGGAGCGCCGGCATTGCAGCCGGACCTATTCAATTACCCGCAAGATTAACAATAGGGTGAACCCCATAAAAAGAACCGGATGACTCTATAATGTTGACCCTTCTTCACGATAATTTTTGTGGGCCCTCAAAGACGCGTAATTACTAATCCTTACTAATAAACGGAACCGATAACTCTAACCGGAAATAAGCCACTCGGAAGTGGATAAGCGACTGTCACTCTCTCGCTCTTGGATTCTTACTCACGGATTTTAATCCAACGTTGTAGGAGTCTCGCTGTTTACAGATCGTTTTTAGTGTTCCTAACGAACATCCCCACATGTTCATTACACATGATACGTCCGTTTGGCTGCTCGTTTGACTGCTAGGTACAGCGTCATGGACCACGCCGTACCACCCGCAATCAAATGGGCTGGTTAAGAGGTGGCAGAGGATACTCAAAGCAGTTCTGATGTGCAACGCCCAAGCCCCTTGGCCCGAAGTCCTCCCCACTGTGTTCCTTGGTCTTCGCAACTGTTACAAAGAAGATTTAAATGCCTCACCGGCTGATCTGGTGTTTGGCACTAGTTTACGCGTCCCAGGTGAATTTTTTGTTTCTGAGGACATGCCAGCGGACCCACAGATTTTTCTCGAGCAGTTCCGAGAGCACATCAGGGCAATGCGGCCTACAACTACAGCTCATCACACGAGATCCCGGATTTTCATTCTCAAAAATCTGTACTCGTGTTCCTACGTTTTTCTGCGTATTGATGCAGTTAAACGGCCCTTGGAGCCCCCTTACTCTGAACCGTATGAAGTCCTGGAGCGCCTGGATGACTATGTCTTCAAAATCAACGTTGATGGAGTGGAGAAAGTCGTCTGTGTGGACAGTCTTAAACCTACTTACATTGCCAAGGAGGACTCTTCATAGCAGCAAAACCCTCAACAAGCTCAGCAAGTCCAGGCGCCTGCAGATCATCATGGTTCTCAGTTGATTGATCAATCAGAGACCGTTCAACTCCAGCTGCCACTTGGTATCGTGGACAAGCCTCTTCGTACTTACGCCCAAAGAAAGAAGACTGTCTCGTTCCATACAGATCCCACGAATGCCCAGCAACTAGTCGGAATCATGGACGAGCCCCTTCACATTAACACCAGGAGAGATAAGACTTTTTCGTTCCCTTCGAATTCCACGAAGGTCACTGGGGGGAGAGTGGATGTGGCGGCTCCGCCTCCGGCAGCTCTCGCCGCGAACACTTCGCAGGATGGTAACCAACCATCTTTACCGACGGAAACCTTCCGTCGCCCACGAAAACAGGCCTTGAGGCCTAGAGATTATTATTAACGCCACACGTCTGGCACCCTGCTTTATTCGCATTGCAAAGTGTAATTACACAGTCCTACAAAATTTGAACTTGTTCTGTCACAGGGATGAGACTGCCACCATTTAAAAGATTTTTTCACGCAGATTTCAAATCGTTGGCTAAATCTCTCGAGATGCCGTAGTTTCTGAGAAAAAAAATGTTAAAATCCTGAAAATGCCAGAAAATCGTCTTTTTCAAAATTTAATTAGAAAACAATGTTTGTCTCGATTGAACTGAAAACAATGCCAACAAAAAGACCGGAAATTACACTTCCAGATGAGGTGGAGTCATTTTCATTAGGAGCACGGAATTATTCATAATAAATTCCGTATTTCTTCAATAAAATTGCAGTTATTTTTCAAAAGAATGTCATGGCAGCTATAGTCTGATGTTGCAACCCCACATGGAATTTTCACCGCCAGATTCGAGGGTTAAAATTGAATTACATTTATTTTCATTGCAGTACCTCCATAAACCGTTTTACCAAAGACTTGGTTCATTCTCGACGAGAGAAATCAGAACTCTCTTTTCCTCCAGTGATATAGATGGTTCCATTCTCTTAAAGACACTTTTCTTTATGAAATTAAATAGATAAATAATAACCCTCAAATCTGGCGGTGAAAATTCCATGTGGGGATGCAACTTCAGACTATGGCTACCATGACATTCTTTTGAAAAACAACTGCAATTTTATTGAAGCAATACGGAATTTATTATGAATAATTCCCTGCTCCTAATGAAAGCAACTCCACGTCATCTGGAAGTATAGTTTCCGGTCTTTTTGTTGATATTTTTTCAGCTCAACCGAGACATTGTTTTTTAATTAAATTTTGAAAAAGACGATTTTGGGGCATTTTCAGGATTTTAACATTTTTTTTGTCACTGCACTTTTTTGTTCAGCCCGTGTCGAAAAGTGCCTTTTCGTTTACTAGTAAACGAAAAGTCTTTTCGTTTACAAGTTTCGACGTTTCGTTTACAAGTTTCGACTTTTCGTTTACTAGTAAACGAAAAATGGCACAGTTCGGCACTCGCTGAATGTAACATCACTAACAAAAAATATAGTTCGGATACACGTGCGACGGGGTGTTTTAACTCGTGTGATTGGCAGCCCTCGGCTTCGCCTCGGGCCGCCAACTTCACACTCGTTGCCACTCCGTCGCATTTGTATCGAAATATACTATTTTTCTCAGAAACTAGAGCATTTCGAGAGATTTGGCCAACGGATTTGAAATCTGCGTGAAAAAATCTTTCAAATGGTGGCAGTCGCATTCCTGTGCCACAACAAGTTCAAATTTCGTAGGACTGTGTTATCTGAGATATCAAGAGTTGTAATTAATAAATATTGGTTGTATGTATACTCGTGAGTAATTCTTTATTTGGAGAACCCATCTCAAACGCTAAAAGAAACCATAGAAAAAGGTGGCTGTGGCACCTCGGTAGTGAGGGCTCGCCATTTTATCATTAGTTTAAAGTTAAGCAATAGTGTAGAAAAAATTAGACGGGTTTGGGAAAGCTAGTTGGGAAGGACTGAATCTTTCGACGAGGCTCTTCATATAATCACGATCGAAAGTCACTTACAGGTAAGTTCGTTTGATCGTACAATTGTATTCGAGCCATCGTCTTCGAGATTTTAATAACTTATAGATGTTCAGAGATCATCCAATGTTTTCTTTTTGTTTTGTTTTGTCGTTTTTTTAAAATAAAACCCCAGATTTGATATGAATATGGATATTTAAGAGTTTAAAGACGAATGTTAATGGACAAAAAGAATGGTTATTGACTAAACCATATTCAATAGAACTTTGACAAAAAAGCACGTACAATAATTTCCATGGCCGTCGGACATGGCCATCGGATATGGCCGACGGCCATGGCGTGGCCATAGGTATTTTGGAATTCGTGGCCGTTTTCCATGGCCGTTGGCCACCAAGTGAATAAATAAATAAATAAATAAATGAATAATAGAATTTTGTTCATTACTCGAAAAATTAACAATTTTCCCACATTGACGAAAATTATGTTTTTTTCTCTATATGCTTCGGTATAATTGAGGAATAGGGGGTTAAATTCAGAGGATGTTCTATCTCTCTATATAATGAAAAAATAAGCCCAAAAATTCAGGCGACGCTTGATTCGACCCTGTGACGACAGAAGCGGCCCTGGGGCGACACTGATGCGGCCCTGGGGCGACACTGATACGGCCCTAGGGCCGACCTGACGTGACCTGATGTGACTCAAGCCAACCCAATCCTGACAGGTCACAGGGTGATTTTATATATCTGTCTATATGATAAAAAAATAAGGGCAAAATTTAAGACACTTCAGGCGACGCAAAAATTCAGGCGACGCCTAAAGGTGCGGGGGGTGGTCAGGGGGTGGTCAGGGGGTGCCCAAGGTCGGGGGGGTTAGAAGGGAGGAGGGTGTCCCAGGGTCAAACGCGGTGGGGGGCTGACAGTTGGATTGGGGGGGAGCGAGCGAAGCGAGCGGGGGGGCGAAGCCCCCCGGGCTTGGCGAGCGAAGCGAGCAGGGGGCGAAGCCCCCTAGTGATAAAATAAATGAATAAATAAATTAATAATTGAAAGATGAATAATTTTTCAACATTGAGGTAAATTATGACTTCGCTGTATATAAAATATACGAGTCATGTAATGGTTATATGCGATGCATGTGAAGTTCGAAGGGAGGTCAAATTGATATTATACGGAGGTCAGATGGGGATTATGTGAAGGGTATATGAGGGTTATGTGTTGTTGGTATGGAGGACACATGTAGGTTGTGTGAAGGTCATGTAGGTCATAGCCAGATTATATGGAAATTATATGAATGTCAGATGCAGGCTTTATGAAGGTGACGTGAAGGTCATAAGGAGGTTGCGCGAGGGTTATGTGAAGGTCGTATGAAGATTGTACAAAGCTCATGTGAAGGTTATATTGGTCATATGCAGGTTATATGGGAGTTATGGGGAGGTTACATGCAGGCTTTATAAGGATCATAAGGAGGTAGGATGAAGTTCATGTGAAGGTCATATAAGGGATCTATGAAGGTCATAGGAAGGTCACGGAAAAGTTATATGGGGTATTTAAGGGTCATGAGAAGGCTATGTGAGTTCAAATGAAAGGCATACAAGGCGCATGCGAAGGTAAAGAACCATTGACATTATATAGAAGATATATGCAGGTCGTATAAAAGTTATATGGAGGTTAGATGAGAGTCATACGGAGGTCACGTGAGGGTTATGTGAGGGTCGTATGAAGGTTGTACAAAGTTGAAGGTTGTACCTCTTGTAGAGGTCATGCAGATCATATGCAAGTCATATGGGAATTATATGGAGGTCAGATGCAGGCCCATGAAGGTCACGGAAAGGGTATAAGGAGGTTACGTAAGGGTTATGAGAAGATCGTATGAAGATTGTATAAAGCTCATTTGAAGGTTATGTACGTCATATGCAGGTTATATGAGAATTATCTGGAGGTCAGATGCAGGCTCCATGAAGGTCACGGAAAGGGTATAAGGAGGTTACGTAAGGGTTATGAGAAGATCGTATGAAGATTGTATAAAGCTCATTTGAAGGTTATGTACGTCATATGCAGGTTATATGAGAATTATCTGGAGGTCAGATGTAGACTTCATGAAGAGATGTGGTGGACATATAGAGGTCACGTGAGGGTTATGGGGAGGTCGTATAAAGATTGTTTAAAGCTCTTGTAGAGGTCATGCAGGTCATATGGGAATTATATGGAGGTCAGATGCAGGCTCTGTGAAGGTCACGGAGAGGGCATAAGGAGATTACGTCAGGGTTATATGAAAGTTGTGTGAAGATTGTACAAAGCTCATGTGAAGGTTATGTACGTCATATGCAGGTTATATAGGAGTTATGGGGAGGTTACATGCAGACTTTATGGAGGTCATAAGGAGGTGGGATGAAGTTCATGTGAAGGTCATATGAGGGATCTATGAAGGTCATAGGAAGGTCACAGAAAAGTTATATGGGATATTTAAGGGTTATGAGAAGACTATGTGAGGCCAAATGAAAGGCATACAAGGCGCATGTGAAGGTAAAGAATCATTGACATTATATCGAAGATATATGCAGGTCGTATAAAAGTTATATGGAGGTTAAGTGTGAGTCATATGGAGGTCACGTGAGGGTTATATGAAGATCGTATGAAGATTGTTCAAAGCTCTTGTAGAGGTCATGCAGGTCATATGAAGGTCATATGGCAATTATATGGAGGTCCGATGCAGGTTCTATGAAGGTCACGGATAGGTCATAAGGAGGTTACGTAAGGGTTATGTGAAAGTCGTGTGGAGATTGTACAAAGCTCACGTGAAGGTTATGTACGTCATATGCAGGTTATATGGAAGTTATGGGGAGGTTACATGTAGGCTGTATGGAGTTCATAAGAAGGTGGAATGAAGGTCATATGAGGGCTTTATGAAGGTCATGGAAAGGTTAGGGGCAAGTCATGGAGGTTATGTGAGGGTCACGTGAAGTTCATATAGAGGTTACGTGCAGGTCGTATGAAGATTGTACAATGCTCATGTGGAAGTTATGTAGGTCATATGC